GACAAAATACTGCTCTTAGAAAGCAGGAGGCAGAATACATATACAGTATGAAACCATTTTGTTTAAGAAGTTAAAAAGCATGCAAAACAATTCTGTGGACTGCTTAGAAATATATACACATGTAGCAAAAGTATAAAGAAGTGCATGGGAATGAGAAATACTACTGAAAAGAGTGGTTACCTGGGGAGGGGAAGCCAGGTGGCTCCAATCGCACTGGCAATGTTTTATGGGGATTGCTATACAGTGAAACCCGTGAGAGCCAGAACTCAGGCAACTGCCTTGTTTTTCCAGGTCTCATAAGTTTTCTACCTTTGACAGGGTGCAGTCACCACTTTTCTATCGCTCTTTATTAAGAATCCTACCTCATAAACGTAGTGGTTAAGAGCTATGGCTGCTTTCCAAAAAGCTGGTAGTTGAAATCCACCAGGTGCTCCTTGGAAACGCTACGGGGCAGTACTACTCCGTCCTACAGGGTCGCTATGAGTCAGAATTGAGTCGACGGCAGCAGCAGGGTTTTACCTCAGAAACCTCCAGTGAGTCTTCCTTCTCTGACAAGTTTCTGCCTTACACAGATTCTGGCTTTCTCAGGTTTGATGATATCGTTCTTAATTTATGCCTAAAATGTTGCATAAAAAGTTTTATTCCAAAACACAAGCCAAGCAGGGCTGTACCTGCCCCCTCAGGTACCTTTTTAGGCCACACAAAGGCACCTCTGCAGCCCTGGGGAAGGGGGTGACTGAGAAGGAGCAACAGTATTGGAAATGCTTTGGTTTTTCAGTCAGATAGCGTTTGTTTTGTTGTTAATACTCTGTCCTGTAGGGTCGCTATGAGCACAAACTGACTCAAAAGCAATGTGTTTGGTTTTGGTTTTTAAACACAGGGCTAAAACCATAGCAGTGAACAAAATAGGCAACATTCCTGCCCTTATGGAGCTTATTGTTTTGGTTTTTAAACACAGGGCTAAAAACATAGCAGTGCACAAAACAGGCGACATTGCTGCCCTTATGGAGCTTAAAAATCTAACAGAAGATATGATAATACAATACTCAGCCATAAAGAGTAATGAAGTCCTGATGCATGCGACAACACGGATGAACCTTGAAAACATCATGCTGAGTGAAACAAGTCAGTCTCAAAAAGACAAATACTGTATGATCTCACTTATATGAGATAAGCAAATACACAGAAACCAAAGATTATTAGTGGTCACCAGGGGTGGGAGGAAGAGGGAAAGGGGGAGTTTCTGCTTATGGGGAGCAGTGAGTTTATGTTAATAATGTTGGAATAACTGAGAAAAGGAGAGTGAGAATGGCTGCACAACTTGAAGAATGTAATCAATGTCACTGAATTATACATGTAGAAACTGTTGAACCGAAGAATGTTTCGGTGTGTATATTTTTATTGCAATAAAAAATTAAATTAAAAAAAAAGAAAACCTAACAGGACAGACATTACAAGTAACCTCAAGTGCAATCAGCACTGCAAAACCAAGTGTCAAGGTGCCATGTGAAAGAGGGGGAGTTACACCAGTCAGATGTCAGAGGTGTTTCTTTAAAAATGGGGGTGGAAGGAGGATGAGAGAGTAGTCAACAAATGGCTCAGAAAAAGGGAATCAAAATAATGAATCACTACTCAACTGTGGAATTTCACAACCAATTCATGGAAAGAGGGATTAACAGTGAATGCCCCAAATTAGTCGCCTACTACTGCAGGGGAAGAGGTAAAATTAAATCTGCATTTCTTGGCATTGTCATGAATCAATACTACAAATACCACTTTGTGTTCAGTTTTTAAAGCGGTATTACCTGAGAGCAACCCATGTCAGGTATCTCATCATCTTGGGCAGCACCTAACACAGACAACTTACAATAAACAAACGCCAGCAGTATCCTTTTATCCCAAACATTTCCTAGGATGAAGGAGCTCTGGTTGCACAGTGGTTACGCACTTGGCTGCAAACTAAAAGGTCGGTGGTTTGAATCCACCAGCGGCTCCACAGGAGGAAGATATGGCAGTAAAGATTACAGCCTTGGGAAACCCTATGGGGAAGTTCTACTCTGTTCTATAGGGTCACTGTGAGTGGGAATCAACTCGACAGCAGAGGGTTTGGTGTCTTAATGTTTTTACCAGGATGACCCCAACTTTCACATGTGTATCCCACCATTCTCAGAAAACTTTAATGATCCTAGAAACTCCAAGGGAATTCAGGCTGTAGATTGTGGAGCCTGGGTCTATGACCATCACTGCTGTCTGCTTGCTCTCCCCATTGGCATGATCTCCGGCAGGTCACTGAGCGTCTCCTAGCTTTGGCTTCAGCTCTAAACTGAGACGGCAGGGCTAGACATGCTTCACTGCATACATGCCCTGCATACAGTAGGCACTGTGCAAGTTGTGGATGGAAAAAGAGCTGGCTGCCTGGAGCAAGGGAAGCAGAGTTACTCTGCCCTACATCTGTGCTTTGTTTATCTTACTTCCTCCGCCCGGATACTGGTCCAGGCTTTAGGATTTGCAAACTTGTCCTTCTTGGGCCAAGTCAAACAACTCTTCCTCCGGGAAGCCTTCCTGGACACTCCTCCTCACCGTCCAACAATTACTCTCTCCTCTATCTGGTGTGCATCAGTGTCTAGAGCAGGTTTGTGCCCCAGCCCTGATTCTGATGAGATCTGGTTACTGACTTCTCCTCAGCACCAAAGGAAGCAAACAAACTACTGAGCACCTATCTCTGGACTAGATGTTTTCCCACGACCTTATTTATCATGATGGCACCTGTGCCAGAATGGCCCAGTGTCTTCCCAGATGGTGTGAAAATCACAAGGTCTGTTTTTCCTCTCTGTTTTCTAACGTTTCTAATTTAGGAGTACAATATGTACCTTGAAGCAGGAGTGGCTTTACAACATTTGGTGCAACCTAAGGAAAAGGGGAAGGGAAGGAAACCCTAACGGGAGACCTTTCACAAGAAACAGGAAGTGGCTGCTTCCCCATCCCCCATCCTACACTCTCTGAGCAGAACCCAAGTAGTTACTGTATACGACAGGCAAAAGAGCAGAATCTAAGTCAAGGAATTTTTTAGTTGGAAGAGAACTGCGAAATCATGAGTCAGCCTCTGCCGAGAATGGGGGAGACGTATTACTACAAGGTGGCAGAGCCACAGCCAAAACCCAGCTGGGTCCGGTCCTCCAGCACAAAGACAAGGTTTGGAATCTCAGGGATTGTCATCAGGAATGCACCGAATGCCTCACAACCTTCAAGGCTAGGGGTCGGAATCCAAGCCTGAATTGTCCCAGGGAAACAGCTGACTAACAATGCCAGCTGGGGAATATTTTGGTACCTTCCAATTCGGCCCATGTAGGAAGAAGCTGCACAAAGAGCTGTGTAACTGAAGAGCCCGAGGAATGGTACGCCAAGGCCGCCGAGTGCCTGCATGGGCTGCTCACATTCTCCTCATAGCTAAAGTGGCTCCCAAAAGAGCTTTCCAGATCTGCCCCAGTGGGCACCATCAGAATTGACTCCAGGGAAGCTTCCAGCTGTGAATGGCTAACAAAGCTAGGCGCTCTCTCCATTTGAATGTGAAAGAACCGCCTCAATCAGAGAATGCCCTTAAGCCATAAAACCCTTCACACCAAGGCCAAGTGTCACACTCGTAAGAGGGTGTGATTTATAAATTGACAGCACCCACAAAGCTGCTTTGTAAGCCTTCGTTTGTTAACAATTTATCTCCCCCCTCCGAAACTATTCAGATAAAGCTCGACTGAGCCTCGGAAAGAAAGAAAGGAAGAAAGAAAAGGACCCAAGTTTGGCCAAAACACCAATGTTCACTTGGGATAATTACATTTCTGTGAATAGACACTAAAATTAGGGCTTAATAATTCCCCTGTATCACACTTAGACCATCAAACTCTTCCAACACAAACACAAAAAGCAAGAGAAAGAAAATCTCCAGTGTAGCCCGGCTGGAAACTCTAAGAGTTCCACTTTTGCGGTTTTCTGCAGTCTCTTTTGTGGTTTCTGCACTCTTTAGAATTCCCCCTTTAGAGCAATTTTAACTCGTACTCTGACCAGCTGTTTTGCTTTCTCAACATTTAAATCTACCAAGCACAGTAAATATGGGTTTGGTCCTACTGTCCATCTCAGCTCAACAAAACCAATTCTGGCTACTTCATCTTCTGTTTTCTCCATCTCATGCCTCCCTTCTTCTCAGATTCCAACACTAGCTACAGAAACCATCAACTTCTGGCTCCCTTCCCAAACAGCTTTCTATAAAATGAATTTATATAGTGCACCTGATCCAAAGAGAGTCTAGGCCCCTAACACAAACTACATTAATACATATATACACACACGCACACACACATATACATGATAACATTTATCAATATTGAAGCCTTTTCCTCTTAAAGGTTCTTTGATGGGGGAGAAAATAAGTTTCTAAAGACGCAAAAGCAATTCAGAATACTTTAAACTGGTTCTTGCCACTTAGGAATTATCTATCAACTGGAAAATTTTTAATTTCATATAAAAGTAATGACTTTTGCTCATAGTCTTTCTGATACTACCCCATACACCAGAGGTCAAAACTGGCGGCCCACAGACCAAAGAAGTCCCGCGGACATGTTCTGTTTGGCGTTCACAGTGCTGGCCACAGTGGCATTCAAACCAATTTGAGTAGGTTGCCATTGTTATGAAATTTGGGAAAGATCATACAAAAATCTCATTTCTGATTTCTGCAGAAAAATCACATCTGGCATCACTGGGGCCCAATTCCTCATGGCAACAGCTGGCTGGAGCTAAGCAGCAAGTGCCCCTTGAGATGGGGCAAAGCACTGACCGATCCAGTCTGTCCACACCCCTCTCCTCAAGTGGATCTCCTTCCAGGCCCGCTTCGCTCATTTACAATAGTAATTGCCTGTTCCCTACAAGGCCCCAGGGTTTCTGACCTCTGCCCCTGACACACATACTTTTAGGAACAGTCCAGAAACAATCTGGTTGGTCAGAATACGTACCTTTTTGACCATAGTTGTCTCAGATGAATCAAGTTTTGCTCTCTTGGTATCAGGCCCATCTTCCACTCCTTGGCTAACTTTGGCAACTTTGGTTTTCTCCCTGGAGGATGACATGGGGAGGGAATGGAGTTCTAGCCTATGAACCATGCCATTAGAATAAAAAGAACATTGTAGCTCACAGAACAGGATGGTGAGAGTTGTGGTCAGAAAGACCTGGGTTCAAATCCCAGCTCTGCAACTTATTACCTGATGAGTTGGTTACCCACTCTGTGGGAACAACGTCCACGACAGGATTATTATAGAAGAGAAATAACATAAGTTACTTAGCACATTGCCTAAGACATTGTAACCCGTTGCCAATGAATCGTTTCCAACTGATAGTGACCTTATCGTAAGCTCTCAATAAATGAAAGCAATAACTTTGTAAACATTCTACTGGAATCATGAAATAAAAAAAAAAAAAAGCAGTTACCTTCAAGTTGATTCCAACTCGTGGCAACCCCACATGTATCAGAGTACAACTGTCCTCCATAGGGTTTGAAATGGCTGATTTTTTTTTTTGAACCCTTCACCCCAATCTACCGCCAGGTATCTCTGGTCTTTTACTCTTTTCAGAATATTTATGATTGTTTTCCCCACACCCTACACAGCCAAGTCATGCCCCGAAACATTCATAACTGTCTCCTCCCCAACACTCCCTCCATTCTCAGGGTATCCATGACACTGCGTCTGCCAGTTTTGGTTTTAGAATGTTTTCTCTTAAGAAAAATGTTCAATACAACTCTGGCTTATGTATCAACTTGTTTTTACTCTTGGAAATAAAAAGACAGTTGGCCCATTTGTTGTTCTATTTGCTGCCAGGACTGATGACCAGTATCCTCATTTTCCTCCCTCCTGGAATAGGAAGCCATTTTATAGGTTGTTGTTTTTTTTTTCTTCTTCCAGCAACAAATCAAGCAGATGGCTCTTTGAGGTTTCATAAGGAGCTGCGACTACCACCACGTATTGAGTGCTGACCATGTGCCAGGTACTAGGTGGGGGCTCTGTACTTGTTAGCTCATTTAACCCTCACCGCTGCTCTCAGTGGAAGGTGGTATTATCCCCCTTCTACATTTAAGGAACTTGAGGCTTAGAAAGGTTAATTTGCCCATGATCATACCACTAATAAAGAGACTACAAACCCCTATCTGCCTGGCTCTAAGACTCTTGGACTCTTTTCACAATCTCATGTGATAGAATAGTCTCCCTCCCCCACCTGAAAGGGGGTTTCTAGCCCTGCACTGCTGCCCTCACAGGGCTCCTGACTTCTTTTGCTCTTCCTAGAGTGTGGGTTTTTTTTTTAATGCTGGTTATCTTTCCAGTGACAACGGCTGATTTTTTGGAAGGAGATCACCAGGATTGTCTTCTGAAACAGCCGAATTTAATTCCTCCTCGCTACCACGGGGAATACAAGTTAAACCGAACTGGCATGGTTTTTCTACCATGACTTCTTTACCTGTTTCTTATGTGCCCAAAGAACTGGATTTTCTTGAAACCACAGAGTGCTAGCTGCATGGGATCTTGGACATCGTTGTCCTTCCCCCATCTCAATTTTATAGGCAAGAAACTTGTAGCCCGGAGAAATTAAGTGACTTGCCTGGGAGGCTCAACAAAAGCAAGCAGAGCTTGGCTCTGGGGAGAAAGCTCCTCCCACCTCTTTACTTCCCTCATTAGCAAGTTGCCGGGTATCTGAAATTGCAGCCAAAAAACCAACTCATATAGTTTTACAATACTGTATCATCTGCCATCTTTCATCTAGAGGCTACAAATCCAAAACACTGCAGGTCCCATCATGTGAGAATTACCAGGGTCTGCGGCCTCAGTGTTCAAAATGAGAGGATAAGGTCTGTCTGGTTCCACCAGAGCAATCTCTGGGCCTTGGAACTTTTCCAAGATAGCCTTTGGCTGAATGTGGCTCCAGAGTTACCTATCTATTTTGTACTTGTTTTACTATCTCTCAAGCTCAAAACACACAGTCCGAAGCTGGAGGAGAAATGTTTACAATCCAGGCAATCCTTCCCCAAACAGAAAGTGTGACTTCAACACCTGAGGTCCAGACTGATCGAATCCCACGTGGTGTACTTTGATGGTTTATGAATTCAGTTCTTTTTATGCTGGGACTTTTCAATCAGATCAACATTTTGGAGGGTAGGGACAATATCTCCTACAATCCTGAACCACAATCCATGTATTCAATAAGGCGTTATTTCCTTCAGATGGTTCAATTCCTACCAGTAAATAAAACTAAATTTTGAAAATATTATGTTCTCCTCTTCACTTCCAACACTTACTCTACAAACTCATGTTCTCCAAGATTGGCAAATGTATATCCATGGTAGCCAAAAACATCTCCTGTGAAGAATTTGATGCTATTTTTGTGACAGATCTGGTCAACTTTAACTAGGACATCCCTGGAGCAGCAAGTCAGACATACCTGCAGAAAGAAAGAAATCGGCAGGGCGTGAGTCCTGCAAACTGTGAATCATTGCCCTGATGTCTAAATAAATCTTAATGAACACTCTCTCTGGGCATGTTTGAAGCCAGTTTCAAACTGGTACAACAGGTTCTTTGGGTCCTATGGTTAAAAGACAAAAGAAAAGTTGCAGGTTTCAGTGTACAGAAAATGTAAATTATGAGACCAACACTTTCTGCAACCAAAATGAACTGTGTTTAGTGTGAAAGTAAAAGCTATTCAATGCATGCTTCCCCAGTCCATAAACACATGAAGAGCAAAAGAAAATGACAGTAATAACTTCATGTAGGCTATTTCTAAATTATAAAATCTATTAAACTCTGAATAAGCTATAGAAGCAAAACAAGTATTTTAAACTGACCCAAAGGTCATAAGTTTAACATTTCTAAATATGAGGGCTTCCCTCCACCACTTCTTTTGATGATTAAGATAAAGAAGATAAACAAGCCCTGTTAGGGTTATTTTTCCACCGATTATGGTGTGAAACTTTATCTGAATGTAAGGACAAAAGGAGAGGTTACAGACCAAGTGACCTTCCATTCAGACTTCAACAATGAACAGGTGATTCACTCAGCAGAATTATCAATGTAACTCTGGGGCTTCTAGGTTGTGTTTCAATAAGCTGAGGTGTTGGAAATGGCCAAGTGTTACTGTACAAATACGATCTTTTAGGGAGAAGCTGAATGATCAAGATCAAGAAGATTAATTTGCAAATTGCACGTCTTCCCCTGAACATAGAAAGTTGGAGAAGAAATTACAGAAGGCCACTTTCATTTGTTAGAACCTCTTTGCTACTGTCTGTCAATGTGAATGATATAACATTCAGACATATGTGTTCCTTTGGTGTCACTCAAGGATGCAGCCACCCAAGGAAAAAAAATCAAATCTAAAGGGTAAGAAAGTCACAGCTGAACATGCAGTCAGCTGACCACGCAGAGCGCTGCAGAGTCAAACCTACAAGGAGGACCAGTCCAACATGGCCCATGAGGCAGCCATCCTCACCCGGCTACCTGCATTACACACTCTTCTGTTCTAACAAACCTGCTGTCTAATTGCAAAAAGTTCAAGCGGCACCTAGGATGAAGCAAACTTGGTTATTATGGACAAAGAAATGAAGAGAGGACTTGTGTCCAAATGGAAAGTGTCCCAATACCTGGAGTGACAAAATAGAAGGAATTAAAAAAAAAAAAAGAAAATGCACAGATGATCCATCATTTCAAGCCCATATGTGAACAGATGCATGTATGAAATTTAACGGTGTGTGAAAAACAAACTACCCAACCCGAATTCTAACCTCTCCTGTAATGGGCCTTTCACTTAAAAAACAAGTAGATCATCTGTGACTAGTTTACGGTTATCAAACATTTGTTAAGCTTTTCCAGGGCACAGGGAACTATGTCTGAAAGGTCACAGATACTGAAATTAAATCTAACTTCTCCTTTTCACCTTGGCATAGATGTAGCAGTGAAACCAAATGAGGCTGGATAGACTTCATTTAGCTTATCAATATAGCTAAATTCTGTCTAGTTTTCCATGGTAACATGGTCAAAGTAGCCAAGACAGACAGACAGACAGACAGACAGACAGAGACAGACCAAGATCAGGTGTGCTCTTTCTTAAGACAAAACACAAGCTGTGGTTTGGTATTTCTAACAAAAAAAAAAAGTCTCTGCTACAGAAATTAATCAACAACTTGTTAAGTTTTTGGGGAGAAAACATTTGCAACAAAATGTATCACAGCTATCCGCACAGATTCTGGAAGGAAGACAAAACAGCAAGGATGAAACCTGGTTTAGGGGAGCATACGCCTAAACAAGAAGCCAGCGAGGAGCAAGTCACAGTCACAGCAGATGCCACAGACTGGACCTCTCCTACAAAACATTCAGGCAATATACCATGCCTCAAGAAAAGAGCATCTCATAAGCTTACATGGGAAAAAGTTCAGAACTTTTTAGATCCTAATACTCTAGCATACCTCATATACATGCAACTAATGCTTTAATTTGTTTTCTTCCCACAGCAGCTGACGCTCTCTTGGAAACTTACAGCATCAAACTGAGTGAAAAACGACTCCGGTTTCTTTTCTATATTCTCAGTGTCCACCTTCACGTCCACCATGGGGTTGAGATTCTGGGCTCGCTCCAAAGAGGCTTCAGCCCTATTTCGGCCAATGGACCCAGTCCGGATCAGGAACTGAGCTCCAGGGTCTTCTGGGGATACCTAGGGATAATTTTTTTTTTTTTTAATTCTTGAGTTTTTTGGGGGAAAACAAATCTCAAAAACAATGAACCTCTGGATTTTAAAGAACAGTTAAAATACCTACCATCTCATTGCATTACTGTTCCTTGCAGGTATCTGCCTAAAGTAAACTCCCTACTCTTTCCTTCTGAGGCTTTAAACTGGTAATTGATGACTAAAGAGCACCCCCTTGTGTTTACAAAGAAAATTCCCTCTAAGCAGAAACATCCAAGCTTTCGCCTTCCGCTTAAATTTGTAACTGCAACAAAATGACTGACAATTACAGGTCGTAAGCATTTACTAAATACCTACCATGTGCCCAACCCTAGTCACTGTGGGAAATAAGTAGTTTAAAAGATACAGTCCCTGCTTACAAATGGTTTAAAATCAGACTGGCGCAAAAATCAGATACAACTAAGACTACTTGAATGCAAATCTCAGAAAGGGGGAGAGGTGATGGGGACTGGGGCAGACAGATGATTTCACCCAGAAGGCTGGATGTCAACAGGGCAGAGCCTCAAAGATGAAATAACATAATCACCTGACAACTACCAATATGAGTACAGATTTCATACTGTCCACAAAGCATTTCTTTACACATCAAACATCTAATTTAACCTTTAATCTCTGCGTATGAACTTGCAGCCAACTTCACCAAAGACAGCGTTCAACCGAAGTAATCTGCCTTCATCTCCTCCTACAAGCTAGTCACAGCACACGCTCTTCCTCATCACCTTTCCTCCATCAAGGCCAACCCTCTTAACAGTGACCTTGACCCATCCTGTCCTGCTTCTTCAGGGACTTTGTTATTTACTGAGAGGCTGTGTCACAGTGGTTAAGTGCAAGGGCTCTGGAACTCAGCTGGGATTCAAATCCTTAATTCAAATCCTGGTTCCACCACTTACTGTATGACCTTAAACAGAATTCTTCACCTCTGTGTGTTTATCCCTTACGTGTAAAATAAAGAAGTGAGTTAATGAACACAATACACTTACTAATCACTCTGTAAATGTTAGCTATTCTATTGTTACTCTTAGTCCAGAGGTCACACCTTCCTTGCACACTCTATGCCTTTGACCTCTGAGATCCTGGCTCTCCCCTTCGCTGGCCATTCCAGTCTCTACATGGGCCCTTTTAAGTGTGGTTGTTCCCCAAGATTCCACCTCAGGACCACTCATCTTTTCATGCTGTATAGCTCCACAAACCACCTCAATGCCTCTTAGTTCTATCAAGGCCACTCTTACGCTTCTGCCTGATTCATCTGAGTCTTCTATTAAACTGCCCACCAGACGTTTCCTCCTGGCTGTCCAACAGGCCCTTCTAATTTGATTCCTCCTATACTTGTTGTCTTTGTTGAAGAGCCCACCATCCACCTATCCAGTCACCCAAGCTAGAATCCTGGTCATCCTATCCTTGCTACTTCCTTGAGAGCAGCCCATGATGAAGTGGCTGAGAGCATGGGCTTTGGAGGCAGACTGCCTGAGTCCTGGCTGTACCACTTACTCATGGTGAGACCTTCTTTCTCCTCAGTTTTCTCATCTGTAAAATAGGGATAACAGGTTCTGCATCTCCGACTTGTTCTAAGGATTAGACAATACAACTAGAGCTCTTAGAACACGGCCTGCATACTCAGTCAGGGCCAACTTTCCTTCTGCTCCCAGATCCAGTTCCTATCAATTCTACCACCTAAGTATTTCTCACGTATGTATGCTTCTTGCCATCTCTGTCACCAATGCCACAGCCCAGACCTTTTTCTTCTCCCACCTAAATTACTAACGCAACAGTCTTCTAGGCGGTCTTCTGCCCTATAGCTTGTGCCACATGAACCATAGTTCATACAGGAATTAGTGATCTACATAAAGCCCAAAGCTGACCAGGCTACCCTGCCCTCCATTTAGAACTCTTCAATGCATCACCACCTAGGGGATTAAGTAAAGCTCACAGCAGGGCTTACTAGCAGGCCCTTCATGATCTGGGCCTTATTCCATCTCAGTATCCACAACTGGCTCCCCAACCCCCCCACTTTGGACTTCACACTCTGAAAACACTCAACTGCATGTTACATTCCATTTCTACCATGCTGTTTTTTGCCTTTGTGCCACTGCTAATGTGTCCTGCCTAAAACACACCCCTTAACCTGATAAAGTCCTGCTCACTCTTGAAGACTCAGCTCAGATCGGAACTCCAGAAAGCCTTTCATATCTCCTGAGAATCAGGAAGCACTCTGGTTTATGAAAAACCTTGAGAATGGGAACCAAGTCTTATGCCTCTTTGTATTGCCAGTACCTAGCATACTTCAGGGCACCCAGAAGGTACTCACAAAGCTTGCTGAATGTAAGGCAAATGAAAAGCTCTAATGGGTAGGCATTAACATCCTCAGAATACAGATGAGCAAACTGAGTCTCTAGAGGTAAAGTCCTTGCCCAGTTCAAGGCGCTGGGATTTGAGCCCAGCCTGCACGATTCTAAAGCTTTTGCACTATCAGCATTGCTTCCTGGGGGCACTCCTTGTCAGAGAAAGAACAAAAGAGAGACTCATCACAGCGTGTCCAAAACTCTTAGACTTATATGACAGGAGCAGTGGGTAGTCAGGCTGGGTGACAAGGACTGAGGCCAGATTGCATCAAGTCAGTGGTTTTCAATGCTCCCTAAGTATCAGACTCACCTAGAGACCTTTTATTATTTTTTAAAAACTCCCCGGGGCTCCTGATATTCTAAAATACAGCCAAAGTTAAGAGCTACTACGTTAGGCCTTGAAAACCAGGCAGAGGAGTTTAGACTGACGAGAGGAAGGCACTCTAAGTTCTGAGAGAGACACGGGACGACAGTCTGTTCACTCCAACATGGGGCAGCACTCATATTACTGGATTGGCATACACTAATATGATACACTGATACAGTGTCAGTACATCATACAACCCTCGGTTTTAAATGATCTTCCATTATTCTCGGATTCCCCCAGCAAGATGAGGAAATCACCATCACCATTTGGTTTCATCTTTCCACCTAAATGGCTCCCAAGGGGTTCCACGGTTAGGCACTATCCTTCCTTGGGTCTCTGCTCTTTCCCTCTTTTAGGAATTTCTTCCTCTAGACGAGCCCTGGTGGCACAGTGGTTAAGCACTCAGCTACTAATCATAAGGTCAGTGGTTCGAACCTACCAGTGGCTCCGTGGGAGAAAGATGTGGCAGTCTGCTTTCGTAAAGATTTAAAGTCTTGGAAACCCTATGGGGCAGTTCTACTGTGTCCTATAGGACTTGACAGCAACAGGGTTACAGACGGGCTCTAGATGTGTTCCTGCCTCTAGGGGGCACTGTGGTTTGGGAGATGTTGAAGCAGCCAGTCAGTAATAACCTGGCAGCTTGCTTGCAGGAATTTGTTTTTTCTTGGAAGGTTTTTAAATTCAACTCAAATATCAATTTGTGACTGTGATATTAAGTGAGCCAACCCACACTCCTCTTCATACTGCAGTAGAATTTCTATTTTAAAATAGTAATTCCAGGTATTATTTTTCTCCTGAAATCTCAAAACAAGGTGATGCTTTAAAACATTTCATTAATGTTTACTTTTTTCCAGAGTCTATGACTCACACTGTGTGCCAGTTACTTAACATGAGACAAGACCCCTGTTTACTGCTTAGAAGCAAAGACACAAAGAATAATATAACATGACAATATAAGAGTTGAAGCTTTTCACCTAAAATAATGATATGATTTCTGGAATTTGCCTTAAAATACTGTCCCTAAAAAAGAAAGGAGAAGAGATAAGTCAGTCAGGTGGACGGAGTGTCAAATATTCTACTTTTGTATGTACCTGAAATTTTCTATAGAAGAAAACTAAAATGTCATTCCAAACCAAACCCACTGCCATCAAGTGGATTCTGACTCACAGTGACCCTATAGGACAGGGTAGAACTGCCCCATAGGGTTTCCACAGCTGAATCTTTACAGAAGCAGACTGCCACATCTTTCTCCCACAGAGCAGCTGGTGGGTTGGAACTGCCAACCTTTTGGTTAGCAGCTGAGGGTTAACCACTGTACTACCCGGGCTCCTAAAACGTCATTAAGGCATGGGAATGTAGAGAAAGAAGCACTTATTTTCACCTTGGAGAAAAAGATAGGTCAGAGAAAGATACATTGGAGTTAGGCACTATTGTTATATTATCAATTAAATATCATTATGTCATGTAAATATGACTAATCATTGAAAGCCTGTTATTTGCCAGGCACTATGCTAACCAGTCAACATATATCCTTTCTAATCCAATGTTTTTAAAGTATTCTATGAACTACCTACATCAAAATCTCCTGAAACCCAAACTTCTTGCCTTCAAGCCGATTCCGACTCATAGCAACCCTACAGGACAGAGTAGAACTGCCCCATAGGGTTTCCAAGGAGCAGCTGGTGGATTCGAACTGCCAACCTTCTGGTTAGCAGCCAAGTTCTTAGCCACTGAGCCACAAGGGCTCCGAAAAGACATTTTAAATGCACATTCCTGAGCCCCATCTCAGACTCTCTAAATCACAATCACTGGAGGTGAAGGCTATCCCATGACAAAGCCCCTAGGTAATTCTACATTTTCAACTAGCTATTCAGGTGAGTTTTAGAGACAAACTGGAAAAGCACTTCTCTAAACCTCACAATCACCCTTCAAAGGAGATGTTATTACTCCATGTTACAGACAGGCAAGTGCAACAAGGTGAGGTGAGACTCCACTGGTCATCCAGCTAGTATGTGATGGAGATGGTTTCACACTCAGCACTAGAGAGGTCAGTCTCCAAAGGCAATATATAGTTCCATTAGTTCCACAGCTCTTTTCAGAGCCCTGAAGGGGCACATGGGAACTCACAGCATCTCCAAGTGTCATGCTGAAGAGGGGGAGACCGAGCAGGGAAGCGATGAGGGGACCAGACAGCTCACCTGTTCATGATCCAGCATGGTCAGTCCTTTCACCCCCGCCAGGATGAGGTTCTTGGCAATTTCAGCCCCAAGTCCTTTCATGCCCACAAGAAGTACCCGGGAGGCCCGCAACCTGTAAAGAAGATGTTGTTAACTGAAACTTGCAGAATCATCAAAGACAAAACACAACAAACTAACAGGAAAATAGTTCTGGCTTTTACTAAATGCACTGAAGCATCACAGCATCAAATCCAGGAAAGAGACAGGCTTCAATCTTTCCTGAACAGAACAATTCATTCAGCAAGTATTTATTGAGCACCTACTGGGCCAGGCTCCCTTCTAAGGTGTGGAGATAGAGCAGTGGATAGACAGAGTCCCTGCCCTCCCTGAGCTTACAACTGGGAGGGGAGACAGATAAACAGAGGGGTATGTAGTATGTCAAGAAGTGATGGAAATCAAGCAGGGTAGGATTGAGGATGAACAAGGATGCTATTTCAGACAGAGTGATTTTGAAGGCCTTTCAAGAGGCGGTGATATCTGAGCAAAGAACAAAATGAAATGAAGGAGGAACATATGGATATTTTGTGAGAAGAACATCTCAGGTACAGAAAACGTAAGTGCAAAAACCCAAAAGAGGAGGAGTGATTACCATGTTCCAGGGACAGAGGCCGAACAGCAGTAAACAAAGAGAAGAATGGTAGGAAATGAGGTTGTAGACAGAACCAGGAGCCACATCAGGAAGGCTCTTGCAGCCTATTGTAAGGATTCTGGATTTTATGGAAAGCCATGGCGGGGGGTGGGGGGGGAGCAGAAAAAGTGCACTTAAGATGAGAAAGGATGGTGGCTTAGACTAGCACGGCAGCAGAAGAGGTGGTGAGAGGGGGTATTCTTTGGGCTGCAACACATACGCAAAAACTTGGTGGCATTAAAGAGAATGTATAAAGGAAATGTTTCAATCTTGATGAGGCTAAAAAAGGAGTCAGAGGTTGAGCTATTCCCAAATGTCTAAACTTAACTCTGATATCAAAGGGAGGCAGTATAGGTCCAAAATATCTTTTCTGAAATCCCTAGAATCAGAGTGTTTCAGAATCAGAATTTTTCAAAAATTAAAGAAAATATGGACCTTACAACACATATTATGAAACAATCCCAATGGGGTCTTGAGCTGCACTCTCTAATGAAACCCACTAATATTTCTGCAGCAAATATATGATTATTCACACTGAAAAGGATAAGAACCATAAACAATATCACGTAAGTTCAAATTCTGCTGCACAATGAGTTTGCTACTAACTTATGTAGTGAGTTGATCATCTCCAATTCCCAAAATATTTTTAATAACAACGGGAACTTACATGGGTTTCAGATCTCCTTCACTGCTAATATTAAAGAATAAAATGGGAGAAAGAGAAGATATTGACAATATTTCTATCAAAGGCATACATCTGAATCTCAGCTTCTTCATTATTTCCTTTTTTGTTCTATGGCAACAGACGTGGCAGACACAGTCCTTTCAAGTGTACAATTCCATTTCACTAGAGTAGGAGGTTAGGAGTCTAGCGCTGAACTACTAATCGAAACGTTGGCAGTTAAAACCCACCCAGAGGTGCCTTGGAAGACAGGCTTGGAAATCTGCTGTCACAGACTTGAAAACCCTATGGAGCAGTTCTACTCTGCATACATGGGGTCACCATGAGCTGGAGTTGACTCGATGGCAACTAACAAAAAGAGTAGGAGGAAACTGAGGAGAGAGTGGACAACACGTAACCAAGGTAAGTAACAGAGATGCTAGCAATAAACAGGTTTCCTGTCACAGATTGATAGCATTATCCCGGTGAGTGGAAGGGAAGCTATCCGACTGTCCAGAGGACTTTCTATCCCTGGAAAACCAGCACATATATTTAATAAGCAATGCTTCTGCTGCGAGCATAGTGCACATAACAAGCCTTTAGCATCAGAAAGGCTGAGTACCCTGGCATTTAGCTGTATCCTCCAGATATCTGCTGTCACTTTTAATCTGTAAGCCCTCCCTTCACCAAGGCCCAGACACTGTCACACCTGGAATTTGGCATTCCAGGCTGCAGTTCCCTTTCAATTTGAGTGACCGGGTCCTTTTCAATTTGGCTGCTCCAGTGCCTCTCTGATACAGATTAACATGGCGCAGCTCTTCTAGGAATCTCCGTCTTCAAATATCACCCATCATCACCACTAATTTCCAAACCCACTAACTTTTTCTCAGGCCCTGTTCTCTGAGATGTTGCTTTAGAAATGGAACTGCCAATCACTAATTTCCTTTGAGTATAAAGACTTGGGTTTAAATCCTGGCTCTGCAACTTCCTAAATGAATGACATGGGCAAGCCACAGAATTTCTCTAAACTTCAGTTTATTCATCTGTAGAATGGGGATGATAATTCTTTCATTGTTTAATTCCCTCAACAACCTGGTAAAATATGTGTGCTAAAGCCTCTAGCAGAGTGTCTGGCGTAGAAGAGATAATAAATGTTACTTGAACTTAATGAACTTTTCCTCAATTCCCACTGCTTTAATTATAAAAGAACTCCATTAACGGGATTCTGATTTTCAAAATATCTGACAGGAAAAAAAATTAAGGCTGGCATTAAAGCCATCTAGTATTGGCTCTATCCTACTTTACCAGTAGACTCTATCAGTCTACTCAGCCCCCAACACATGCCTTCAGTTTTCCACTTTTAGACTTACATCACATTCCACATAGCTGGAATGTGCCCTCTCTGCCTCTCTATGCCTAGCTGGGCCTTCACCCCATACTTGAAAGCCCAATTCAAATGCTATTTACTCAAAAAGTCCTTTCTTATCATGGCACACCCAAGTGAGCATGCCTGCCTCTGCACTCTTCCAGCAACTGCCACATATAAATGCCTCTGACAATAAATCAGAGCCATGTGGCCTCTCCATGAACCCTGTTTTCCTATGTGGCTCTACAGACTGCTCCAGAGTTTTTTTATTCAACTGCCATCCACACCAAATATGTTTATCTTTTTAATCCTTAACCATGCAGGAGTCCTGGGACTACAGTTTATTTACGCTAAATCACAAGAAAACTACTTTAAACAGTACCTGGCATATGTTAGTGTTGCTGGGTGCCATCAAGTCGATTTCAACCCATAGCGACCCCACATGACAGAGTAAAACTGTCCCATAGGGTTTCCTAAATTGTAATCTTTACAGGAGCAGATTGCCAGTCTTTCTCCGGCGAGCAGCTAGGTGGATTCAACCACCAACCTTTCGGTTAGCAGCTGAACACTTAACCATTGTACCACCAGGGCTCCTTAGATTACAAGAAAAGCACTTTAAACAGTACCCAGCATATAGTCGGTATTTAATGAACATTAGCTATTATTATCCATACTCTCTGACTTAGCAATTTCCCTTGTAGGAGTCAATCCTACAGAAATACTCACGTGGGCACAAACATCACATACAAATATTTTCATAGCAGCATCGTCCATCCACTTCCCTCCACCTCCACAGCCACCATCCTAGTCTAGGCACCATCATTTCTCACCTACAAAATTCAAGAACTTCATACCTACTACCTCGCTTTCCCTATTGCCCCCTATAATCCACTGTCCCCATCAAAGCCAGAGAGATCTTTTAATATGTAAACTAGAGCCCACAAGCAAAATGTTTTAGAAAGCAGCTTTCTAATCATTCTCAAAATTACCCTTAAGGTGAGACAGCACACAATACAGGGGAAACTAGCACAACTTGTACAAGGAAAGGTCACGGAAGCCCCACAGACACATACAAACTCTCTGAGGGAATGAACTGCTGGGCGGAGGGATGTGGGGACCATGGTCTCGGGGAACATCTAGCTCAATAGGCATGACACAGCTTATAAAGACAATGCTCTACATTCTACCTTGGTGAGTAGTGTCTGGGGTCTTAAAAGCCTGTGAGCGGCCATCTAAGATACTCCACTGGTCTCATCCCTTCGGGAGCAAGGGAGAATGAAGAGAACAGGATACAAGGAAAAGATTAGTCTGAAGGACTAATGGTCCACAGCTACCAAGGCCTCCACCAGACTGAGTCCAGTACAGCTAGATGGTGTCCGGCTACCACCACTGACTGCTCTGACCAGAATCACAACAGAGGGTTCTGGACAGAGCTGGAGAAGAATGTAGAACATAATTCTAACTCACAAAAAAAAGACCAGATTTACTGGCCTAAAGGAGACTGGAGAAACCTCAAGAGTATGGCCCCCAGACACCCTTTTAGCTCAGTGGTGAAGTTATCTCCAAGGTTCACCATTCAGCCTGGGAGTGGACAGCCCCGTAAAACCAAATGAGACTAATGAGGTACAGGAGTCCAGTGACAAGGGCCAGAAGGCAGAAGGGGACAAGGAAGCTGGTGATAGGGAACCCAAGGTTGAGTAAGGATATTGTTGCTGTGAGATTGTTAACCATTGTCATAGGGCAACATTTGTAGTAACTGTTAAATGAGAAACTATTTTGTTCTGTGAGCCTTCATCTTAAGTGAGAATAACAGCACAATTGGAAGAGCGTAGTCAATGTCACTGAACTGTGCATGTAGAAATTTTTGAAATGGTGTATCTTCGGCTATGTGTATTTTCACCAAAAAAAAAGGTTGAGAAGTTAGAGGGTTGACAGGTTGTCGGGTTGTTAACCAATGTCATAAAACAATATGTGTACTACTGTTTCATAAGAAACTATTTGTTCTGTAAGCCTTCACCTGAAGTACAATAAAAAAATAAAAAAAAGTTACCCTTAAAATTAAAAAAACTAAACCTATGCAAGAGAAACAAGCTCATTATAAAAAAGAAATTTAAATACAGAAGCAAAAGATAAAAATTACCCACGATCCTACTATTCAAAAATAAACTGTTAACTATTTGATTTATATCCTTCTGGAATTTTTATATGCATGTATTTGCCTCTGTATTTTATTTACGAAAATGGTATCTTACCGTATCATTTAAAACCTGTTTTTTTCCACCTCTTAACAATAAATCATCAACATCTTTCCATAGCAATGAACAACCACAGAGATAATGAAAGCAAACCAGATCACCATGTAACTCTCCTGCTCAAAATCTTTCAAGGCTTCCTATACAAACTCCCTACCATGGGCTT